TGTCGAAGCTTGGCTACTGGCAGGTGTGGGGCGCAAACAGAAAGGGACCTACCTTCAGGACTTGAGGAGAAACAAACAAGACATGTGAAGAGAATTCGCAACAGCAATTTAGTTCTCCTTTCAGCTCGTCAGACAACCGATGCCGACCTCAGCCAAGACATGAATCAAAAGGGTCCTATAACTCCAAGCGACACGTTAGGTCGAGTTGAAAGACGTCAAGATCGGGGACCAGGCAGTGGACCAACGATTCGACGTGTTCTCGAAGCGGTGACAACGACTTCGATCCTGCGATTGAACAGATTACTGATTGAATAACCTATCAGTACCTTTCATATTGATGATTCAAGAGATTTTCCACCTTGAAACCCTTTCAGAACCGTGTCAGATTGCAGAACTGGCTTGGATGCATCTGAAAACAGGTGGAAGCACTTTGTATCACTTTGTTTTGTACTGTTTGGTACTGTTTGGTGGGAACTTCTAGGTGGATTGCCGCCAGGTGCTGGAGGAGTGCCGAGATGGAAGCTGTCGGGCCATTTTGGACACCGGCACCTCATTGCCCGAAAGCTCGGCCGGTCGGGCGGACCGCCGGAGACAAGCAAGGTGGGCCTCCAACGCAGCTTCCGAACGCAGCTTGACAAAAAGGAACTTGTCACAGAGTCACAGCTTCCCCAGATAGCTGAAAGCTTTAGGTGTTTTTCCTTTCATAGAAGTCTTGTCCCATTGGGCTGTATTGCGTGTTTGCCCTCCTTAGTTCGCAATCCGGGTCCTGGTTGGTTGTAAGAGACACAAAGAGACCAAGTGACTGGAGAAGTATGCCTCAGGGGTTTTGCATGCACAATGGCATAATTCAGGGGCCCATGCGATGTAGTTCATCGTTCGCAACATCTAGCACCTCATAGTGCTTAAAGTATGATGGGCAGTACCGCAGCAGAGTTTGCATGTCAGTATTTCTTCGCATGCCAGCGAGTGATAGAAGGGACCTCCCTTGATTAAACGCTGAGGCTGGGAGTTCCAAGACAGGTGGGCCTGGGCCCCTCACTTGTTCACGATTTGGTAGACGGATGCAGAAAAAGTGAGGCATTCATTCAGGGTCAGTGCGCACCACAGTGTGATTTGTTGGGCTTTTGCTTTTCTATGGCCAGCATGCATTGCATAGCCGTGCTCGCGCCTTCGTCACGGCCAACCGACTCCCTGCAGGTCGTGCGGTCCATGCATCGGATGCTGGCAAGACCTGTGGCAGAGGACCGCTTTCTGAAGTCAAAAGACAGCGCCTTCTTTCCGTCCTTTTCAGAGTACCAATTTGTTCTTTTGCACGAAACAGACATGGCAGCACTTGAAGCTGCTCACAGGAGATTGCTCATCAGCCTGGGATTGACTGCAGGAGGCTGGATTCATTTGTTCAGCTTGCAGTCGAGCTGCGGTATGAACTTGGAAAATGGCCACTGTGAAGCTTCTTGCTCCTAGTAGTAAGGCCAGGAGCTCCTAGTAGCGTCCTTGCTCCTAGTAGCGATGCCAGGAGCCCCTAGTAGCTTCATTGCTCCTAGGTTGCCAGGATTGCAACTGGACTTTGAGATGGAGGGTGGGGTATGGCTCTCATACAAAGTAACTCCTGTCCGTGTGACTGGTGCACGAGTTGGCCGCCGTGCGTCAAACATGTCTTGATTTGGTTGAACTAGCACACCTAATGGTTACCTTGATTGAATCAGCATCGCGATTTATTGAGGTCATGAGCTTGTCGCCAGAAGACTACTCCAGGCATTTGGTGGGCGGCTGCTGATGTTGTCACAGTTTTGATGATTCCAGCTTGTTTGGCGTTGTGAACACGCTCACTGTTCTTTGATTCTTCATCAAATCGGCCAGAAATCATCAAGCATGCAGCTTGCATGTTTCAGCATTTGGAATCTCTTCTGCGCCACCCTTCGCTGTTTTCGGAGGCCCTTGCCTTTCAATATGACGATGCCGAACCAGGACAAATGGAGGCCCTGTGGGGCGTTCCATTCACTTGAAGCGGCTTTGAGCCTCTGAGATCGTTGGACGTGGCAAAGAAAAAGCAGCAGTCAAATCCCAGCAACCGGGGGATGGGATAAGAATGGTTTACAGTATTTGGATATGTTTGGATTGATTTCGAGCAATTTTTCCAAGTTGCAAGTGTAAGATGATGTAAGGATATGTAAGGTGTGTTCCTGTCCGAAGTGTTTGTGAGGTTATTTTGCCGCTCATTGCTTCTGCCTGTGGAGATGGCTGAGCCGTTGGGCCCGAAGGCCAGGAGGCATTTCTTAAGCAAGGGAAAGCTACTGTAGCTTTCGATGTCAATGCACTTGACAGGCTGCCAAGCACAGCATTATTTCCGCCCGAATTCGCTTGCAGTAGGCTTATCAAATCCAAAGATTTTTTGGCTGTTTGGCATGGATGTTGATGGGCCGAGCCAGGTCTTCATTTGGGGTGAGCCTGTTCTACGCAGGTGTGGATGCCGACCACAGCCATTCAGCTTTCAGGGCAACGGAGGTTCAACCAAGGGGGGGCAGGACAGATCCTAAATTTGCAAGACTGGTCCAAATGAATTGACTGCTGCATCAGACTTGTTCTTAGAACTATTCATTTGCCCAAGAGAGACGATTTTGATGGTGCACACAAGGGAGATACGTTGCTGAAAGAGAAATTCTAGTTTGTTCGCTTGTTGCGAGAGATGAACACGCTTAGATAGAGAGCTCAAGTGAATGAGCAGGATTTCATAGGATTTCAGTTGCTGGCTCACCGCTGCAGTAGCCCTTTACGTTACTGAGAGTTAGACCTTGACTTGCAAAGCAGCATGGGGAGAAGCCAGCAAACCAGAATTGTTGGAACATCGGCGCACTAGCTCTTTAGAGAAGAGTGGGGTGAGCAGCTTGATCAAAAGTTCAAAACAAGCAGGTACGTCGATCCAGTGTCCCGGATCGATATCACCAGCTTGCACCCGCTGCTATGCGAAAGCAAAGGGTAGAACTCTTGGATACAGAGGGCGACACACACACACCCTCTCTCTCTCGCTCTCGCCTTACAAGTCACGTTGAGTTTTGCAGGTATTACACCATCTATGACTTGGCCAACAAGAGGATTGGTCTTACACTCGCCAAGCAGCCTACTGGACAGGCCAGATCCACAATTGGTGTGGATTATTGTTTTAATGCCTGCTGACAGAAATGTGCGAATATAGCCCAGCAGCAATGCCTTGTGATAGAACGCTTCTACGCTTACACAGACGAAAGAGATCTGGAGGCAGCTTCTCCTGCCAGCGTGGGTACTCCTCCTGCAGGCTCCCTGTTGTCAGGCACATACTGAAGAGATAGGGAGCGGGTTGGGTGATGTTGGGTGACATCAGGTGACTGAAAACCAGACTTGGACGACATGGAAGAATAGCAGCAGCATGTAACAGCCCACATGTAAGAGCTGCAAGACTCTAGACCATTCAAGTCAGCGAAAGCACCCACAATTCCGAGATCTTTTCAGAAGGCAATTCTTTGGGACAGGGACATTGTTTCAACTCTGACCACTTTCTCCCTGTTTTGCAAGATGGGTTGTGAAATATTGCTGCCAACTGCCAAATTATTATTAATAGTCTATATACAGTAAATCTTTAAACAGTACGTAGTGGAACATTGCATTGCAGAGTTTCTGTGGTGTACCAAAAAAAGCAGCTGCAGAAGGGATCCGACTCGCCAATGTTTCCAGGCTCTCCACTGTGCGGGCCTCAATTTGGTTGCGAGGGTAGACAGCTTTGGAAACCAATCACCCCACGAGTCACGACTTCTGATATGAACAAGTGGACGCTACTAGGGGCTTGTGGCATCGCTACTAGGAGCGATCGGACGCTACTAGTAGCTCCTAGCCATCCTACGAACGGAACTGGTTTGCCGCAGGGCCGCAGGCTCGGTGAGCCATTTCTGACTACTCAGGTCGCCCGTGCCAGAGGTGCGAAACGGGCCGCGCCACGGGACGGGCCATGCATGGCCCATGGGGCACTTTTGTTGGTGGCCCAAAGTCGCTTGCAAGAAGGTCCTTTACGGAACATACTGTAGTTATCTGTAGTTATATGTACATATAATATATTATGGTACTATATTGTATATATATATATAGTTATATAACTTATATAACTAATATATCAGATGTATGAGGAGTGAATGGCCGCACTCACGCATCACTTAGTTGGTGTCAAAGTAAAGCGGTATATCCCGTATATTCCTGTATATATCAGCTACCTTTGCGCTCTCATGAAGTTCTTCTGTGCCGGGCCGGAAAAAAAAAGCTTAAGGAAGGTCACACACTGTGATTTGTTGTGGACTGTTGGGGTAAGCTCCATGTAGGCATTTGGTAATGTTTTGTCATTTACAGAGACCTCCTTTTTGAGCAGGTCGCTGTAAATGTGGCCTGAAGCCGATTTCTCAGTGAGGGCGATGCAAATAGCATCAAATAGCCAACAGTTGGACAACACAAACATGATCACATCAAAATGGTGTCGAGAGAAGTGGAACAGTCGAAAGAACGTGGCTCGGAGTGGCAAGCTTTGTTGCTATTTGCAGCGAGCCGTCGTGGTCGCCAAGCTAGCTCGAGCCGCATCCTCCAAGAGTGATGTGGGCAGATCTTCAGCGTTACGATGAAGCAACGGAAAGGCTTTCTGGGCTTCGAAGAGAGAGTCGTTGTGAGTCGAAGGGAGAGGTCACCGATTGGATCTAGGAATGAATTTGGCCCGAAGAGAAGGTGCTGAAAGGGTTGGCTCCAGAAGATAGAGACTCGTTTTGGGTTGATGGCGGCTGATGGCAGCATTTGGCGGCAAGCCAGCTCAAACTGTTGGTGGTGCAAACAGGGTTTCGAGGCATAGTAACAGCTCAAGCTGCCACTGGAACCTAGACTGAGTAAGCTGTTGAATCTCAGAATACTGGCATCCTGATGCATCCTGATGCATCTCGACATCCATGTTGACTGAACATTGTTTTAACAACACTTGTCACTCCACGTCCACTGAGCGAACTTCCCCTCGTTCTGCCGTGTTCTGAGCGAATTGGCAGCGTGCCGTCATGAGCAGCGCTTCCGAGCATGCGGCGTGGGACTGCAGTTCGGTGCCCTCAAGAGTGGCCAGCTTGCTGAGACATTGGATCAAACACCTGGATGGAGACAAGGCGGGTAGATGGTCCGGTCAGGTGGTGATTGGGATGGTGCCGGTCCAAGACCGAAACCACGGGAACAGACTAGTAGATGTTTTTAATTTAGCCCTGGGGGGATAGGCCGCTATAATAGTATATAGATACTAGGGCGCTGCTAGTATATGGACGCAGGATAGCTAAGACGCTTCTTCAAGGAAGCTACCCCCATCTCCTTGAAGAAGCGCTAGCACTATTCATGTGGCTCCTAAATAGATGTTATATGTGATTGCTTGCGCATCGAGGTGTGCCTTTCGAGGAAGGGTCTGAGCAATTTTTTTTTTGCTGGGCGGAGGTTTTTGTTCACCACACTTGCGTGAAACTAGGTATAAACAGCAGGTTCAGTGCAAAGTCAGCAAATGAAGTCAAATGATCGTGATTGGATGCAATAAGCATTGAGAATGCGAAGAGAGGGAACAATAGACATTGTGAATCTACGGCAATATGTTACAAGGTTGCTGTAAGGGTGTGTCTTGGCCGATTGTAATCGTCCAGAGTTTTTTGTAGCACAACGATAAACCTTTTAAAGCCACTTCCGAGCACTTCCCCTCTAGATGTCTCCGGACAATGCGTGACACGTTGCAGGAGTATCAGTCGATTAATTGCAGCGGAATCTAGTGGACAGTTGTACAGCTTTGTTCTGTTGAATTACTCAATACCACTCCTTGTGTTCCTTTGTATTTATATGTACAGCTAGCATTTCCTGTTCAGTGCTTTTGCAAAGCGTTCGAACGCTTTCTTTGAATCACTTGAACCCCTCTTAGCAGCTCTTGAGGTGTCACCATTCACTGGCAGAACAGTTAGTCAGGTACTATTTTGAAAAATATGTCAGACTAACTATATCATACTATATCTATATCTATCTATATATATATATGTACCATCATGCAGGGGTTGCAGAGACTGGCATAGCTCCAGCTAACCTGCCATAGACCGACGGTGTTTTCGAAAACGATGCCTTCATCGAGTCGTTGGGTCACATGTCTCACCGTCCGAACATGCGGCGGGGCCCTTGGTCGCTGAGGGTGATGAGTGCTTGGTGGCAATGTGCAGCTTGGTGAAAGTACCTGCAGTTGCACTGATGCTGCCTTCTCCTGTCACAGACCAAACAAGACGGGCCTTGGAGAAAGTGGCTGATGCTGGATGCTGGGCAACGATTTTGGCATTCATTCGCTTTTGGAATGGGTACGAAAATGGTACCCATGGGTACCTTTAAAAAGGTAAGGAATGTTCTTCTGCAACCGTGTTTCATCAATCTCTTAATCTCCCTTAAGACGAAGTTTTTTGAAACATTTCAATCATGTCAAGGAGGCTTCGCCCTCAATGTAGAGAAGGTTCCTAAAAGAAGGACTGACCAACACCAGGTAGATCAACCAAGCTCCACCGTGCCACCCGTCCACCATGTCATCTCTGCATTGTGCTCAGCGGCCTGCTGTCCAAACTCACCTAGCGGCTGACCCTCCGAATTGTCCTGAGCTTTCAAGAGCAGCCAAATCCAAGGAATTGAGCTATTGGCTGCTGCTGAGACCAGCTTGTGGGACATGCCTCGCATGCTATATGTTCTGAGACTTAGAGAGGCGCCTCTCTTTTCTGAGTCGAGAGTCATGAGACCTTTAACATCATGTGTTCGTACATTTAAACTGCATGTGTTTGTTTCTATTCCGTGTAGTAGTTGGTTCTGAACTGTCCGGATGGGCAAGGCCAAACTGCACAGCCCTGTTTCGCAGCTGCAAGGGTTGTTAGAGGACGGACGGGCAGAGCAGCAAGCAGTCGTACTCCCAAACTTGTTTTTCTTTTGTTTTAAATTTTTTGGGTGTTGCAGTTTGGGAAAGATGTGGGGTTTGCACTCGAATTTTGTTGTGAGACAGTGACCTAGTGCAGGGCTCGCTATATGTCCTCTTTTGCACAAATTAAACATCACTTTTTGACCTTTTGTGAGGCAGTTTTGATTCAATTGGAAGTATATATCCAGATTAAGACTACAGACAGAAGAAGTCGTGCCCGACCTCTTGTGCATGGACTCCTGATTGACAATGGAAGTATAGAAGTTAATGGATGTTTTTGGAAGTTCTGATTGATGGAAGTATACTATATATTAATGGAAGTCTGTATGCGTGCATGTGTGCCCAGCATCACCCAAATGGACCATGCGGAAGCTACAGCGTTGGGTCCTGAACATGATGCTGGAACACTAACGACGGCCATGCCCCACGGCAGTGACTCACAAGGAAGGTTCTTGGGTAGCCATATTCCTTGCCTGGCAGGAATATTAATCTGTCTCTGGTTGCAATGTTGATCTGTCTGTGCAACCACTGGTAGTTGCCATTAGTATGCCTGAACTTGTAGAAGCGACACTCAAAGTGATGTTTATAGAGGACATATAGTGAGCCCTGTAGTGAACTGCTTAGATCAGATGTACGGCATTGGGATGAGGGAAGTGAGAGTAGAGGCTTTTTGCTTTGAAATCGAATGCGCGTGGTTGGAACATGCTTGGATACCGATTGACAGCCTCGACTCAAGTCCGACATCGTCCAGCGTGCATGAATAAAATCGCCGCAGTGGTTTTTGTGGTCCTTGCCTCTATTTGCAAAAGCTAGGGGTGACCAAACGCGCAAGCTTCTTTAGGGAAGTGGACGTGCCAAGCCTAAATGCTATACAGAGCTGTTCGTTTTGGCCAATCGCTTTGCCTGCAATGGAAGATCACATATACTCAGTTAAAACACCTTCAAGTAATCCTGACGGCAGATGGGTTCCAAGAGGTTCGCACGGACTTTCCAATTGCCAGGATGTCGCAGAAGCTACTTTGTCAGTGAAGCCAAAGATAGGTCCATGGCTATGGCCTCTACATGAACCGGAGACTCGCTTGAATTTGAGCCTTTGTGAAGCCTGTATGTCCAGTATATTTGATGCCAAGAGCTGAACGGCAGCCCTAGATCCTACAAACAATCCTGAGTCCTTGTGTGTGCTGGAGTTTTGCAAACTTTGGGCACGAACATGGTTGAGGATGTCTCAGCCGCACTCCTGGTTTGCGATGTGCCTCAGATGGACAAGACAGTTTGGTTGCTGCAGAGTCAGAGGTTTTGCTTGCAGGCAAAGCTAGAGGAGTGCCGCAGTGCCATGTTTTTACCGCAACAAACCAAGTTACTGTACAGTATGTTTTTTTCCTGAAAGCGACTAATGACAAACCCTCCCCCAAATCAATCCAAATCCAGGACGGGGGGCAGTGGAAACATTCCAACTTTGTCCTTTGGGAACCCAGCAGTCCAGGCGATAAAACGGTCTGAACTCATTACTGAGGCAATGACCGATGATGAACAGTTTCTTGGCTCAAAAGAGGGGATTGTTGGATAGGATATATAGTAAATTGGAAGAAGTTAACAGTAGTTATGAACAATTTGGCCGAAGATGAAATCAGTGATGACATCAGTGATTCAGTGATGAAATCCATGTTTTTTCTCCCCAAGCACAACTCAGTTGGGCGATGCGCTTCATCCGGGCCTTCCGGATTCTTCCACCCATTCACATCAAAGAGCAGCAAAGTCACATCAGAGAGCCACTTGGACGCGGTCAGGCCAAGATATGGCCTGGCACACCCGAAAGTGGTAACCGATACGATCGATGATAATCATATTACATTATGAGAGAAGAATATTGGAGACTCTGCTTTGCTGCATTGCTTCAGCACACCCGCACGGGGACGTGGGATTGAAATCAAGGGTCCAGTCGCCTTTCCTTGGCATCACCCCAGTCGTGCACTACATCCGGCCAGAGATTGCCTCCCCGCACGATCGCTTTGTAACAGTTTGTAACGGCTCCACGGTCGCCTTCCAAAGCCATCAGGCAGTATTCAGCATCAACGACCTATGTTTTCGCTTGGAGCGAAGTCTATGTGCAGGGACTTTGGGCCTTGCTCATTGTGGCGTTGCCCACAGCACTGGCGTTGAATGAGCGCCCATGGAAGTTGGGCTGGGAAAGTTGGCAGTTCTACCTCCTTCAGGCAGAACCAATTTCAAGTCACGGGCTGTCACGGGCACTTTGCTAACTTTTTGATACATTGATGTTGTCCTGGAAGCAAGCTTGACACGGTTCGACATTTGATTTCTCATGATACCTGAGTTGTGCCTGCCTTCAGCTGCATCGTTTGTATGTTTGTTTGGTTTGCATCCATCCTCGCACTGCTTTGAGGCTTTGGTGTTAGTCTGGACTATGATCATGGCCGCCCTGAGCCGTTCGCGCAGAGCTTTCATCCAAGATGGCAGTGTGGGTGCCAGAAGTGAAACAGCCTTCAGCTGGAAGAAGATGGCCCACACGAGCCTTGTCTGTTCTGGGCGACGTACTGTGGCGTACGGATGCTTTTTTGGACCTCCTTGATGAGACGAAGTGCAGCCGTCGTCGGGCAACTGTGCCCAAGGGGCTTGGGGTACTTCGAAACCCAATGGGGGCACCCTTCATGACCAGGGTGAAGATCATGAACACTCCGGTGCAATGGTTTCAATCTTTTTCAATGGTTTCAATGACAGGTGAAAAAAAACACCATTGAACCTTCGGTGCGATGCACAACTCCCACGAACGAGGCCACCTGATGGCAACTCCCGTTCGTCTGGTCGTTCGGTGGGTCCCGAGGCGTCGAGCCAAATTGTGCAAGATGCTGGCCCAAACCGGGGCTGGAAATGAGTTTGCGGAGGTGGTGAACTTGATCCTAAGCTGATTTTTAAGCCAAGCTGATTAGCTGATTATTGCAGATTCATGTCATTATAGGTTGGTGAGTGTGGCTTTCTCCTGTTGAGGCCATGTTCTTAATGGAACATTACACAGAAGTAATCATTGGCTTTTTTGGTGATAGTGCTGGTAGTATCGGTGTACGTCGGTGTACGTCGGTGTACGATGTTCTCAATTGGTAACACCTGAAGGTTTCAAACCGGTCGCGCCAGCGGGAGACCGACCCGTTCGGAACCAGGAGACAAAATCCTGATCATTGGCACATGGAGCACCCCAAGACATGGACAGTTCTGAGCGTCATTGTCACAGGCGGCGTTTGAAGCGCCTTTTTGTGTGTTTTTGTCGCGTTAAAATTGTCTAGCAATGGTACATGATGGTATATGCAACCTAATAAGTCTTGTTCAAATATGGGAATGCACCTGATGCACCTTTGTTTGTTGGCAATGTTTGGATTTGCCGGATGCCAGTTCTGGCGAGCTCCTTGTGCTTGTGCATGGCTGGATTCTTCCTTCTGATTGTGATGGAAATAAAAATGGTGCTGATCCTTGGCCAAGCAAGTTGCCAGTTTTCTTTTTCATGCACAGTCGCTACGGCATGTCGAAGAACTCCGGGCGATTGTTTTCAATACCATGATATTCAATATATATATATATACTAATTCAAGAGTTCGCCCTTTACCTCGGACCTCCTGAGTTGGTGCGACTGTGCAACTGTCTGAAAAAAAAACACCTGCGCTTCTCAAGGATCTTCAACTGGGGAGACTGCTTTCGATTGGTCCTTGGCCTTAGAAGACTCTGTCGAAACGATGCCTCAAAGTTTCGAAGTTTACGACCGTCACCAGTACAAACGACCTTTGAGCACGCTGTTACGACTATTCCTATTACGCAAACGCTTGCGTTTTGCTCCACATTGAATCATTGTGGCTTGCTCGTCGAATTTTTGCTCGCTCTCGTCGTTTTGCTCACTCAAAGACAAAGACGGCTCGAACCCCCCAGGGGTGCATTGGACCAGAAGAAGTGCATGGCTTCGGCGGCCTGCTCTCGATGATCGCAACAGACATATTGCTGGCATTGCTGATCAATGTCGCCACTGGTGAGCTTTGCAAAGCCTTTGCCTTCCAAATTGCCAAGTGCCAAAGCAGCAAGAAAAGCCAACAAAGTTGTTGCTGCCAGTCGTCTTCATTTGTTTATTTGCTCTTAAATGTGCTTTAGCTCCTTCTGTGCTTGGGCTGCTGCCACTATGCAATCAAATGCTATATCAACTCACTGAACTGTGAAAGTGTGAACAAGAACATGAGGTTCTGGAACTTCAAGGATATGAGGCACCGGCTCTTTTGCTTCCACATGACCGGGGCACTCATTGATGGTTTGGCGGCGATTGGAGTGTTCTCTTTCTTGGCATTTGCCTTTTTGCCCGAGTGGGAAGAGACACTGGCCACCTCATGGGATGATGCTTCCATGTGTCAAGAGTTCTTTGACTACAAGGACACTCGAATGCATTGAAGGCTCGGCTTCAAGGTGGCAACAGAAACAATGATGTCTACGAGTCTACGGCATGTCTTCAGGATGTTGTAGAATGATATGGAGATAATATCAGAGTGTATCAGTATTATGCATGCATGCAAACATGCATCTAACATGTAGTTTCCCACTTGTGTCCACCACAGGGCGTAGACAAAGAATAGTCCCGACGTGATTTATCATGCGCACTTGGGACTATAAGAGACTATAGCCACCTGCCAAACTCGTCACAGTTGTTAAGGTATGTCATGCTATGGTGGGCTGCGATCCGACAGTGGCTAAACTGCAATGCAAATGGGCAAAGCATGGGGTAAGCTTCAGATTTGGCATGATGAGTGCTGAGTAGCACCGATTCCTCGATTGTTAAATGGCTTCGGCCATGATTGTACGGCTTCAGAGCATCACTGAGCAGCATCTTGTCAAGGATACCGTTTGTTGCTCCGGCACACTCTTCTGTGCTCGTGCCAAGACGCCTGTTCAACAGTCTGGGGCCTCAGACCCAGTGACGAGTCACGTATAACTAGTAGCTTAAACCGCACGTCGCTGGTACAAACAAGTACAAGTATGTTGCATGAACAGCAATTACTCAAATGACATCACACTTGCAACCATGCCGTAGTCCTCACAAACCAACAACTCTGAATCAAAGATCATGCAGGCGCCAAAGCCTCTTCAATGCATGGCTCGGCGGCCTCTTCATGGTAGCACCCTTTGTGGACGTACTCATGCAGTTCATCGTGCCTTTGCTGGTAGGGGCCTGAGATCATCGTGCCTTTGCTGGTCGTGCGTTTGGTTTGTACTAGAGCTGACTGCAACTGGTGATCGACCGCAAACGCCCACCGCCGATGCCCGATGCTCATGCTGACGCTGAGACCTACTACATTCACCTGAAGGCCGACCGCATTTTGAGTGATGAGGAGCGTGCGGTCAAGAAGAGGTCGTGCTGCTGCGGATGCCTGGAAGGACCTCTGAAACGTCTTCAATCAAAACCTTTGCTCATTGAGGAAACGTCGAGTATATAATCCACTTAAATACTGGTAGTTATCTTAGTTACTTGGTTACTTGAGTCTGTCGTTGCAACTATTTGTTTGCTTTCAAGCTGCATCAAGCGATTGGATACAAGCTTTGAGTGGACAAACACGGAGGAAAGGGAGGTCCGGAGCGCTTGATTGGATTCTGAAGAGCTTTCTGAATTGAGAGTTTGCTTGATTTGACCGGAATTGCGGCATCGTGTTTGAACATGTCCGAACCATATCGAAGACAGACAAATGATATCAATTCGACGCTGGACCTGTTCAAAACGCTGGGGATAAACCTCGAGACTGGAGCTTTGTTTGAGCGACAACCAGCAGAGCCAAGTGACTTGCAGTACATGAGCCTGCGATCAACATTAAGAATTGGTCAAAACTTTTGGACAGAAATTGTGCTCCAACGGAATTGTCTAGGATTCGGCCGTTTGCTCGCATTCATCTTCGTCCTTGATGGAGGCACCAATGTGCTAGAACAATATGTTTGGGTTGACAGAAGACTTGTATCAATGTATATATGGCATGAGTTATGGCATGCTATTTATTGTTGCATGCTGCGATAAATTGAACATGATTGAACAATAGTTTTAAGTGCTGCAAAGTGTATTGCTCCTCAGATATTCTGTTCCATACTTTTCGTGAGTAATTCTGCAGCTGGTATATGATGGAGCTCTTGTGCTTTCGTCAGGTGTGATGGGCCTGCCCTACGTGTGGCGAGGCTATCCGTTCAAAGCTCCACACATTGAAATGGAAGCGGATGACGACAATGCGCGCAAGGCGCAGAAAGTTGCTGCACGAATCGCACAGTCGAGTGATTGATTTGTTGCGAGGTCCGTTGACATCCGACTACTGTGTGGTTCAGGGCAATTCTCGGAACCGGGTAGTCAAACAATTAATTTTGGTCTCTCAGCAACTGAGATTTTCACACATGGGGTTATTGGCTGTCCAGTTGCCAACCCCAGCATAAAAACCTCAGAATACCTCAGGATGTGACTATCCCCATCGACCCATACACAGATAATGATGATAATGTGCTTCAAAGCGCTGATCACTGGATTCATTTGGATTCCAATACTTGTCGATCCCGCATGCAGCACGCGAACTGGGCGAGGCTTTGGGACCGGTGTGCGGCAACTGCAAGAAGGACATGCATTGGAAGCAAAGTCAAGAAAGCTGGATCTGCCGCTATCACCGAAATTGCCTCTCAACGCATGAGACCCATGGCGAGAAGCGCTGGAGACTTGGACAGATTTGCGAGCGTCACCGGGAGACGACATCGTTTTGGGATGAGTATAGGTGATGATACCTGAGCATGGGACATTTTTTGCAAACATTCTAGATGAGACGAGAGGGCGTGGGCGTGGCTTTTGATTCCAGTCTTCCAACGCAGGCAGTCACAGAGTCCCTTTTTCTCCCGTGATGTGGTGCTTCAGCTCAGGCGCTGCAACGAGTGTGAACAAAGCATTTGTGGTGCCTCGGCTCCTCCAAGCTCTCATCCCCATCGGACGGAAACCTCCGTGGAGAGGACCTGACTCGGTACCGAGACGAATCAGGGCGATGCTGGCTCAGGTCAGTGTCATCCATTGGGAGCAGCATCGTTAAATCACCTCTTTGGCCCTTTGGATCAGCGCCTCTTGCGACCCTTCAACCCGATCGATGAGTTGAGCCTGGGCCAAAAAATCATCCAATACAGTATGGGTTTTTGTTTTCTTCACGGCTGCGAACACGCGTCAGCACGTTTGCATTTTTTCGTTGGAGAACAAGCACTGGTGGCGCTTCTTTTGGACCTCTCGGAGGACCTGAGAAGTACTGGTAACGGCTTGATGGACCAGGTTCTGAGGATTTGATCATAAATTACATATATATATATATATGTAGTATGTTATCAATGTTATATATCCATATTGATTGTATAGATCCGAACTTTGGAAAACAGTTTGGTGATGAGTGCTGGCTGGGAGCGATCTTGTGAAACATGTCCAAAGGAAGATGCTCAAAATGAACTTCATGATCGTGGTGATGCTTTTTGGCGGAGACGAGGGAACGTGTTGGGAAATCACCAAAGCAGATGGGGAAGCATTTGCAGCTCAGAGATGCTCAGAGGTTACCAAAGCAAATGGTCAACAATTGCATGCAAATACCAGGCGCAACTCCTTATGACACAAGCCATGTGTTGCCAGGTGCCAACACTGAATCAATGCTGGTTGTGCTTGAACGTTTCCATCATCAACTTCAGCGCATCTTAAAAATTAATATGTAATATAATATAACTTTCCTCACTCAGGTGCAGATTGCCAGCAAAAAAAATCTAGACAAGGGGACAACTGTCAGAGTATTTCACAAAGCGTTTGTTTTTCCTTTTTCCCAGATGTTCCCAGGTTCGCGCCTGTGAACCCTTGGGGATTGATTGCTCAACTTCTTGCTCGTCTTTTCGACTTGCACTCACGCCTTTCAAAGCTCTTGACTCTTGGATTGAGGGCCTTGGGCCCGACTCGGGCCAGCAGTAAAGCAAGGGTTCTCCTTGGTCCGCGAGCTTGATAAAATATGGTCGTTCGATGCCTGTGGTTGATGATCCATGCCGAGGATTGTGCGCAGACGGGATTCTCCGATGGACAATGCCCTGGCTCATATTAGCCAGAAGGTGGCTTTCGACTCGACTGTCCGTTCTTTTGACATCCAAACGGTTGAACAAGGGTTTTTTTGGGGGTCTGACTTGCAAGTTTGACAGCATGTGGCGAACGCACAAGTGATTGCAGATGTGCAGATCGTAGAAGACGAGTCCCTTTTCTTTTGCAAGCCTTCACTGGGCTTGCTTTCCTATGCACAAGTTTGATCAAGTTTGACACTTCATGACAGCGGCACACAGAGCATCCGGGACGGCGAATGAAGATTTTGTTGACGGATAGGCTCCTGAATTCAAAGTGTTGGATATGAGAACTGCTCCACACGTGGCACGGGAAACCAAGGTCTTCGGCCACATCATCCTTCCTTTTTGCGCGATTTGGCACATCGGACAGTCACGGGGTGAAAACAATGCACCAGCTTGAATGGATACGTTGTGGAGAGCTTGCAGCATAGCTCTGAATGCATTTGTTTAAACACATGTTTGTTCACCAAAGGCTGAACCTGCAAAGAGGTTGTTTTTTGCAGGACTTGCATTGATCTCGTACAACACCGACTTATACAAATACCAGCATTCAGTCCTGGTGGTTATTTGGTTTGGTTCTGCATTGGCTTTGGCCGGAATTGCATTGCTCATCCAAGTGTTGGCATTCAAGGCTGGAAAGCGCGATCTTGTGAACTCGCTTGGGTGCCATTTTCCGTACGTTTGCTACAGCTCTTTGCAGCTGTTTTCTTCAGCTGTTGCTAGAACTCATGTCTCTTTTCTTGCGGCAGGGCTACTACACTTACAACCAGCATAAGAATCGCCGGTCAACGTCTACCATGCGGGCGAGTGACTCCTCTTTGGGCTCAAGCTGCTTGTCGGTCCGAAGATGTCGACGGTCTCGATTTGTTTCGGACCGCCAAGCGGGGATCGATGTCAGACACGCCTATATAATAAGTGGATCCTAGTGCATCTTTGAGGGCTCAGGCGTATAATCCTTTGAACTTTTGGTGTGTATACTAATGTGTGCTTCCGAATATCAACACCTGAAACATTCTGTTGACACTTGACACCGCACCAGCATGCCTCGACGGTATTCGAGCGGTCTTCGCCCCAGGTTTAGACCCCACTGAGATTCGTGAACTGGATGATGATCCAGATGAGGCAAGTCAGGCAGGTGCCTAGGCTGCAGAGGGCTAAAAGAGAGGTTTCTAAGCTTCGTTGCTTCGAGTTTTCCTGAGTTTTCGAAAGTAACTGACCCAACGAGTTCCTTCGTTCTTCAGTGCTTTTTGGCATGCGGCTTTCTCCCCAACACGCAACTCAGTTGGACCAAAAGCGGAGCCAATCAAAGATCTTCCAAGTGTGCCAGAGCCACAAGAGCTACAAGGGGGTGCGAGCCACGAGGGCGAAGTGGCACAAGAGCCAACGCGTGTGGCAGCACCCTCAAGAAGCAAGGAGGAGGCAGAGGCCAATCTTGACACACCACAGAATGCCGGCGGTTGCTGTGCGCAATGAGCAGCCTTGAGTCGACTGAACTTGAGTGAATACCAGAGAACTTTAGTGACAACTGAGAACTGGTAAGAATTGAAAGGCCTTTTGAAATGCTGGGCCTCTTCGGCCTCTCAGACCACTTTGCCAGTGCTCCCATGGAGACCTCAGAGATGGTGCCATGGGACATGTATGCCTTTTTTTTGCGATTCACCGGTGGACAACAAACACCGGGGTCGTGATAGCGCGTTTCCATGTTGCTGAGATGCGATGGTCCGGACAAGGCCTGTCAGATGCACATGTTTTTGGTTTAGCAAACACATGATAGATGTTGGACCGCATGATGTTGGGATTGTGTTTGGATAGAGCCGGCTTCAGCAGCTTCTAGCAGCTGCATTGCACCATCGCAGCCTCAAAAGGCCTAACTTAGCCTGAAGGGATGTCTCAGTCGCTGACAAGCGTTGAGAACTCTCCTCAGACCCCGCATAGGCTGTGCAAAGTACCAACCTTTGATACAAACTTGTTGCGAGCTGGTACTCAGAGTATAGATAAATTGTACTGTATAATTTTCCTGCTGTTCTTGGAAAAGGTCGCTTCAAGCACAGCCCAGAAAGGCTGGCTGCATCATGCTGGCGGTTGAGCAAGGCGCCCAAGGCGCATGTCCTGTCATGGTTTCAGGTTGCGACACATCGCCACATGTTCACAAAGCAAACGAGACGATCAGTCGCTGTGACCCAAAAATGCCGAACACACCATGACTGCTGAGAGTGTTGGTCTTTGTTTGCATGCAGTTCATTCGACTGAAGCGTTTGCTGTGACCTTTGCTCCGAACAGGTACAAAGCTTGAACATGTTTTGAAGTTGTAGATCAAGACCAACATGCGACCCAAGCATGTCGAGCATTTTTTTGCTTGCTCACTCCAGCGCTCTCAACCTTCAGCGATTCTTGTTTAAATCTACGTGGCATTACGTGGCATTGTCGCCAGCCATGGCGAGAGCAGAACGTACTGCACCGTCCAGCACGGCAAGGGTAAGACTGCCTGCTGAGTCAGGTGCTGAGGAATGTCCAGATGTTGTCCACTCAGTGTGGCGTCTGACAGTGACTGACTCTAACTGTTCTTAAGCAACTGATGTGTCGATGTGTGCGAGAAGTGTTGCTTGTTTTTTCTGGTCTGAAACATTCCCCCCCCCCAAGACGTTAGGTGTCAACAACACGTATTACTCTTATCATAGTCGGCATCCTTTGCTCACAAGGCAAAATGACATTCCAAGACCATGACTCCTTCTGGGAGAAGTGGTTCCTTTGATTCCAAGGCCAAGCAAGTCCAGCAGTAGCGGTTTGATCAGGAGGCGAGCTGCGAGACATCAACTGACGTAACTAGATGGTCTAGATTTGTTTGATTTTGTTTGTTCAACATGAGCATTTGCTTTTGAACAAAATAGGGGCGCCACCATGCGATGTGCGAAAGTAGTTAGTTTGAACATGTTTGAACGAGATAGTTTCATATGAACAACATGTGATCTCCTTTCAAAAAGTTGTCTAAAATTGGAGCTCCGCAAAACATAACATGCAACCAATTCCACTGCTCATTTGGGGAACGGTGCCACACAAGGCCAAACTTCTTTTCGTTGAGGCTTCTGCTTGTTTGCTGAGGCTCTCTCGTGCTGCCTCAGAAGCTGACTCCAACATGGTCCGACCGGTTACAGAGATGAGATGGCAAAGAGCACTAAGTCATAGTTGTCAAACTCAGCCTCCAAGTTTTTGCCCTTGCGTATTGCATTGGAGCTGGGCTTTAAACTGAAGTGTAACATGTACTCTGAAAAGTTACCTTCGAGGCACTGACTTCTTTGCCAAGACCTGTTTGAAATTCCGGTGCTGACTAGTTTTCGACTTGTTTGATCAATAGTCGCAAGATATAGCAAGGAAGCATTCGAGTAGTCAGGCACTTTGTCAGGGAAGGACCGTAGAGGTGGTTGGCAGCCAAGCAATCCGAGCATGTGAGGTATCCACCATCCTGCCCCACTCGAATTCAAGCGCACAATTGTCCAAACACTCTGAGGAGCTCCAGAGTAAAGCGCGGACGATATGGAAACCGGAAACCAGTCACAAGTCTATCAAAGTCTCAGATTAAGTTTCTGCAGTCAATCCGGGATGAGACATGGGCCATCATGGGCATGCCCTGCGACAGAAGTGTGACAGCAGCTTCATGTCTTCATATCTCGACTTCAGTCATTTCTTTATTCAACCGGAAAACACCCTGCAATGCAATTTGCCAAAAGCCATTCCAGGAGGACGCTGTAGAGGATTCGGACCTGCGCAGTATTGCTTGGACACCCAGCGCAGCATCTTTCGGGATGTAGAAGAGTCCAACGCAAGTTTTAGGACAGAACCACAGTAAGCATCAGCAAGCCAAACAGTGCAAGTATATGCAGTCATGTGCAGTCCTGTCCATATAAATATAATTCGTGCGAAACGTGGCTACGTGTTTTGGTTTGTTTGGCACTCCATCCACCTGGTCTGTTTGGGCGATTGCAAGGTGGAGCATTTGGAGAACCTGCAGTCCCAGCAGCGATCTCCGCAGCAGGTGTCGTGGCGAGTGCTTTCCGAACGGAAGTTGAAATCAAGAAGTCACCAGAAAACACTTAGAATCTTAGTCTTAGACTGGCTCATAAAGGATCATAAAGGCATCGGGGTGCCTTTGCCAATTCTCCCCTTCATAGCGTTTAGATGCCTTGAAACGAACTGTTTCAGTCTCAGATGAAGAAAGGATGCCAACAGGTAGTAATACTTTCTTCAAGCGTGTGACACGGTTTGAACTGGCGTTTCTGCATTTCTGCTGCAACTACAGATGCCGTCAATTCCTTTTTGCGGATCGCTGATGCGGTCGCTTTTGTGGATCCCCCTGTGCAGCCTAATCCGCGCCTTGACTCGATGATCCTGCAGCTTATAGCTGGCCACCCAGTCTGGGGGGCAAGCTTCACCAGTTGCAGTTTTAGTGGGAAATGAACGATATGAATGATATGAACAAAAAGTGTCAAACAGTCAAGCAGCTTGAACATGTTGAAACCCTCGCCGTTGGATAGTGGTTTGACGTTGTATGTGTTTCTCAGGGCGGACAACCAGAGCGGCGTCAAAGAATGGCAGGGTCCTCGGAACATTTGGAGATGAGGGTTGTCAGACTCATGCACACGATGCATATTGTTTCACGTGGCAAAATGCTGCAGGCCATCATGACCAAGTCTGCTCTTTTGCGGAAGAAGATCCTGTCACTCATTCCCACGGTGCGCCTTCAAGGGTTCAAACATGTATTTCATGCTAGCACAACCACACAAGACAGGCTGAGCTGTCGAAATCATTGTTTGACTGCAGTTTTTGCAAACAGAATCCTAGGTGATGAAAGCTAAACACAAGAGTCCGTGTTGCAACAGAGCACATTGTGTCGCATCCACCAGATGATGCGAAGCGGATCCCATGGACGAGCATACACGTGTTAGACAAGATCAACACACATTGACACCAGATATATACAGACACCAACAAGAAGCTACTAGTAGCAAAGGGCATCGCTACTAGGAACAAGGACGCTACTAGGGGCTCCTGGCATCGCTAATTGCTA